CTTGTTCATCTGCTATCCTATTCTCCGTCTTACTCTTAATTCTTTCAATAATAACTCTACCATACACCAGGTATACTCAACAGACTTATCCCCCTATAATTTTTGCGCTCCCTTTTGTCCCCTTTGCCTTTATACAAAGGAACTATACATGCTTTCTGCCAATCCCTAGGTACCTTACCCTCTTCTATACATTTATTAAATAATTGCACCAACCACTCCAAAACTATATCCCCACCAGCTTTTAACATTCATAAGACATATATATACGACTGAAACAGTCGAAGGGTTAAATAAATAAAATATATACTTCTTTACAAAGGTTACAATGTGTGTTTACATATCATATGACTGGAGCAAAGAAAGCCACTATCATGCCGAGGCATTTCGGGCAGAAATGCCTACTTAAGACTACATATTTAAGTCTAGACAGGTGCAAAGTGTACTAGTAGTAGTTACCAATGTTTTGCTGATGGTGGCACCAACTACTGGCAGCCTTCTGAAGTTTCTCCTTACTGTTATTATTATTACTATTATATTGTATTTTTATTGTTATAATAATTATTATTAGTAGTAGTAATAGTAGTAGTAGGACGTATGTACATGTATGTGGTGAGGGGCTCTTGATCTAGGGAATTTGATTTGTAGTCCAGGTCCCTAAATTAATAATAATAATTATTATTATTATAATAATACTGATAATAATGATAATACATAATAATTATGTTTAACACAATAATAGTATATAATAAAATAATATAATACATACAATAATAATTATATTAATACACCTACCATCCGACTTATGACCTGCTCGACTTACGACCACTCTACTTACAACCGTGTTTTTTATGCCAAATTTCTGGGAAATCAACAACTATTTGTGTTGTACACAGTGTTTATCCTAAACCTTACAGTATAAAATACAGTACTAACAGCATAAAAAGTAAAGTAAAACATGAAATACCAAAATAAAACAATAAAATAGTCATTACAAATATGTTTTGTTGATATTCAGTAGTAAAGTTCGACTTACGACCGGTTTCTCGGAACCGAACTCAGTCCTGAGTCGGATGGTAGGTGTAATAGTACAAGTATGTACATACTGCGTATAATTTAGTTTGACACCACCACCACCACCACCACCACCAGACAGCAGTGTCAATCAAAACAATGGTCACCAGTGCACATGTGCTTACGGAGTTACTCTCGCGGTGCAAGGAATTCTTGTGATTTCCTTACGCTTTGTGCAGTTAATTCGCCAGATTTCTTTCTTCTGACCATGGGTCTCAAGAAAGCAAGTGCAATGGACAGTGCTGAGAAGAAAAAGAGGATGATTTGCACAGAATTAAAGCAAGAAATGATTAATAAGCACAGACTAGGTACGAGGGTTGAGGACTTAGCAAGTTGAGTACAAGTGTAGCCCCCTCTACTGTATGTACAATACTAAAGAAGGGGTCTATAAAGGCTGTAGTGCCAGCAAAGGGCATTACAGTAATTTCTAAGCAGTGGACCTCTGTCAATGAAAAGATGGAAAAGCTGCTGTTGACATTGTTGATGGAGAAACAACTCACAGGAGATACATAGTGTAGTGAGATAAACATAAAAATTGTACATAACAGTTCTTAAGATTATTATTATTATTATTATTATTATTATTATTATTATTATAACGGGGGAAGTGCTAAACCCGTAGGATTATACAGCGCCTAGGGGGGGAAGGTATTCTGGCTTAATATGGGGAACTGGAGCACAGATCTAATTCCCTAAATCAAGAGCCCCTCACCATCATCAAGGAGCCTTCCTTGAGGGGCAGTTCTTAAAAAAAGTGTGAACTCCTAACAGGATATGTCGCTCTGCCTTTCTTCTTCAAGGTATGTAAATGCCGTATGTACACCAGATCTAATTCAGTTAGCCTCACAAACTCCGTTTTCTCTTATAACACCTCTGACGTTTTCATAGCGAGAATGCGTGACCACTCCCCACCACAATCCTCCTCCCTCTGCCATCCATGTAATGACATATTTTATTCATTCTAGAGTGTATATCAGGTTTCTTTGTTATTTATATTGTTTATTATGTCATACTAGATGAATTGACAGATAAACAAGCCATAGAGTTGATATTAAGGTTATTTTGTCATGCCTCCCGAGAGCAGGAATTCAGCTGGAACGAATTAATTGCATTTCAGTTAATTTAAATGTGGAAAATTGACCCAGCATACGAACAAGTCCACGGAATGGATTAAATTCGTAACCCGAGGTTCCACTGTACTCATTAACAGAAGACAAAATTTTTGTCGTCTACCTAGTGCAGGTAAAGTTCATTGTATAAAATGCTTGGGCTGAATAGTACTAGTTGCTCTTGTTTTGGATTCAGTCAACATTTGCTGGCCCCCAACTTAGTGAAGGGTCTGGTATATGTTGACTTTTTAGAATATTCTTGGGGGTGCCATATGAAATCTGATTTTTTCTTTTTTTCACTTGGGAAAACAATAAGATGGTGTGAAAATTTATCAGCTCAGTTAGGATCAAAGTTGTGGGATAATCTTGAAGTCCTCAGATGGCAGTGAGTCAGGAAAGTTGAATGTTGGCTTGTTATTAAGACAGAATACTAGTTCATTAATTGCAGTGTTGAATGTGCCTGGGTTTGCTGCATTGGTGAGATGCGCATACATCATGCAATACAACACCTTAGAGGGAGCAGTGTCAGGGAGTGCAGAGAGGGAGTTGCTGGATAGAGATGACTGCTGTATGGCTTGGAGAATTCTGGTGGTGTCCGACTGGAGTTTTGAAATGGCAGCATGTGTCGGCGATTTGGGGCTGTTTTTCTTGGTTTCTTCTTTAATTTTCTTTGACAGTACTTCTTTTCGTAGTGGGCATTTGGCTGCAAGGGTATAATGAGTACCCTTAAGAACATAAGAAAGAAGGAACACCGTAACAGGCCCACTGGCCCATGCGAGGCAGGTCCAATTCTCCCACCGGCTTAAGCTCACTGACCTAGTGACCGTACGCTCACTGACTGTCTGACCCCACTGACCTAGTGAAGTGAGACACGTCACTTAAGGGAGGAGGACAGCATGCGACCTAGTAGCACAAGCCAGCCAGGTCCAACTCTCACCCACTCATGTATTTAATCAACCTATTTTTAAAACTACACGTCTTAGCTTCTATGATGGTACTCGGGAGTTTGTTCCACTCATCCACAACTCTTACCAAACCAGTGCTTTCCTATATCCTTCCTGAATCTGAATTTTTCCAATTTTAAACCATTGCTGCAAGTCCTGTCAGATATTTTTAGCATGCTATTTGTCCAATAAATGTCCAACTAGCCATTCTAATATGCAGTCATGAATGGGTTGACATTATTTATACAAGTATTACAATATTGCAGTAGTCTGCATAACAGTAAATCTTCTCTTTTTTGTTTGAATAAAAATTCAAAATGCAAACCAAGAGTAATATCAGAGGGGCCTGGAGATGTGACTGATGAACAAAGAAAATGTTATTTTAGAGCCAGAAATATCTGCATTGTTCATTCTGGACCCTATTTTGAAATTTTCATATTTTTTAATTTGCATGAAATTGGCCAAATTGCCAATTTCTGACCACTTTATTGGGTAGTTGAAATCGGTAAATGGGCAGTTTCTTGTACTCATTTGATAGAACAAATGGAGTTCTGAAGAAATAGTTAAGAGTTTGGTCGACTGGAATAATGGAATTAGCTGAAAATAGGGCTCAAAGTGGGCGAAATTGCCGATTCATAAATATCGGCCAGGTCGCTAACTTCGCGAGAGCGTAATTCCATAAGTTTTCAATCAAATTTAGTACTTTTGGTGTCGTTACCATTGGGAAAAGATTCTTTTTCATTTCATGAGAATTTTTTATTTTATTCTTTTTTTCCAATATTTTGCGACACCAGGAGACCTCAGGATTTGGGGTTGTGACAGTCAAAGGGTTAATGTAATTAGGCACTTCCAATAATGAGTCTTTAACTGCTGTTTAGATACATAAATACATTTTGGGTCCTATAGCCCCATTACACCCATGTCCTGTAACTTGAGTGCTAGTGTACTCAGCTCATACACATCGACTCCTGTGGTTCAGTCCCGATGGGTGGAAACAGGACGTGTTTCCTTAAGACACCTGCTGTCCCTGTTCACCTGTCAGTAAAATAGGTACCTGGGTGTTAGTTGAGTAGTGTGAGTTGCATCCTGGGGACAAAATTGACCTAATTTGCAAGAGATATTCTACATAAGGGGTTTTCTATATAGTAATACTATGTCATTGATGTCAGCTAGGCTTGTATACATTGCATATGTACTTGTAGAAGATATTACTATTTATATTATTACCCAAAGTGCTTTGCATAACTAAGGGGCTTTCCATGTGAGAGATGTAATATGTAGTCTTATGCAAATGATGTATAATGTGGAAATATATACATGTAGATTGACTCATTGGCGGCCTGCATATCCATTAGTTTGGTTGATCTGGAGCTTGGCAGAGGTAGTGAATGAAGACTACACTTATTCTGGCAGTATTTCTTGTATCAGCTGGTAGTAGATTGAATAGATAAGATTCATGGTACCCCTGCTTTTCACTGGGGTAATTTTACCCTTTTTTTATGTACTGTACTGTTCCTGTATGCTATGGTAGTGTGTAGGTTTGTGATTAGGCCCATTAGTATTTGCTCTGGAGAGAATATATTTGGCACTGCAGTACTCAACTTGGTTGTTGAATAATAAGTAAACCATAAAAGAAATGCAGGAGCATTCTGATTCACATCCAACAAGAAAAATTGTATATGATGAAGTGCTAAACCCTCTAGTGGTATTAGTGGGAAGAGTGATGGAAGCTTGATCCTCTGTCCACTAATTGTTACCTGGCCTCTAATCAGCCAGGCTGTTTATTTGTGATTGTCCAGTATATAGTGTTAAAAGACCCTGTGTGTCTGTTTTCATGTCATATGCCATGTACTGTATATATTTATAAATTTTTCAGAATGTCTGCCCCATATCCAGTAGACCCAAATAAAGCCAATGCTGCTAATGCTGGGTGGGCCTTACCAACAGCACCGCCTCCAAATTCAAGTTACCCCGTCCAGCCAGGCTATGGTATGCCCCCAGGTTATCCTCCTCAGCCTGCTGCAGCATTCCCCTCTCATCCACCACCGCCTTACACTGCCCAGCCAGGGTTTGGTGGGCAACCAGGGTTTGGTGGACAACCAGGGTTTGGTGGACAACCAGGGTTTGGTGGACAACCAGGGTTTGGTGGACAACCAGGCCCATATGTAAGTACTTCAGTGACAGATCCTTAAAGATACACAATTTTATTTTCGTGCCATGATTTCTCATAATATTAGTGCAGTAATACATAAGAAACTGCTGGTACTGCATGTTAGTCCTTCCTAATGCCCAAGAGGAATTTCAAGAGAGACAGCATTTTGTTTCTTTTTCTTTATTAGGTTAAAGCAGTACGAAAATCATGGGGAGGGGGAAGAACAGCATATGTAGAATGTTAGATGGGATTTTTTGGATTTAGTGTATGAAGAACCATTAACATATAGTATGCTTTGAGTTTTTAGAATGTATATTTTCAGTGTAACGGATAAATTTGAGAGGTGAAAGATTATGCTTATGTAAACATGTCCTAAGTTAAATTGGCAACTCTACACTCTTAAAACTAATATTTTCTTGTAGGGTGTGGCAAGTTTTGAGTATTGAAAAATAATTTCTTAAGGAGAAAAATATTTTCATCAATAATATCTATTTGACAGGCTCAACCAGTTTACAATGCCAGTGGTGGTGGATTTCCTATTCAGGATGGTGGTCGAGGGGATGAAGTACCAAAGGAAGAGGTGTTGCCAGATCAGTTTGGTGGTTCCTTCTCTGACAAGGCCATTAGACATGCTTTTATTAGGAAGGTTTATCTCATCTTGATGGTTCAACTGTTGGCAACACTGTGCATTGTGTCCCTGTTTACATTTCAGTAAGTTGAGATTGTACAGTATATTTACCCATTTGTACATACAAGAGTAAAACAAGTGCTCATGGTATCACAGTAAATCTGGAAATTCTAAGGAATTTTTATAAAATAGTTTCATTGTTATTTGTGTTTCTATTTGGAATGTGTTAGGTTATTGTTCCATGAAAATATTTTTTGTTGGTTAAATTTACTTATTTTGCCCATTAATATTTCTCACTAATTTTGTTGTGTGATCAACAGCTCAGGAGTAAAATACTTTGTGCAGAGAAACATATGGGTGTACTTCCTCTCCTATGCTGTTTTTTTGGTGACCTACCTGTCATTGGTTTGCTGCTCGGGGGTTCGTCGTCGTTGGCCAGGCAACTTCATCATGCTAGGAATTTTCACTTTGGCCCTAAGTTATATGGCTGGTACCATTGCTTCAACCTATGAGACAAACATTGTCATCATGACTGTTGGTATAACTTGTGCCATCTGCTTCCTCATCACTCTCTTTGCTACTCAGACTAAGGTAAGTTCAACAGAATTGCCAAGATAAAGTAAATTTCTTGTTCCATTTATTAAAAATGCCAAATTTTACCTGCATAGTATTAAATGTGTGTTAGACTTTTTCTTAAATGGAAGAATATGAAACCTGTCAGTATTTACCCCATCATATTCAGTGTCTACAATACAAAATATGGAACCTATCCATATTTAGCGGATCATAATCTGTCTAAAACTTAGAATACTTCTCACATTAACTTATAACTGTATACATTACTAAAGTTGAAAAGAGCAACTTTTGTTTTTTTCTTTGGGCAACCCTGCTTTGGTGGGATATGGCCGGTTTGTTGAAGGAAAGAAGAAATCAAAATTTTAACCAAAAACCTGCTCTTGGGGGATGGACCTCGTGACAACATTTCAGCTCATCTTGGGCCATTGTCAAGTCACAATTAGGGTGAGGGAAGTAGAGAAGACCTCAAGACAATACAGTTGGGGTGGGTCAAAAGGTGGTAGTTGTTGTAGTGGTGGTGGTGGTGGTGGATAAAAAAAAATTAGCAGTAGTAGTAGGTTTATGGTGGATTGTTCCAGTATTGACATTTTATTCAGATTATTTTTCTAATAAAGCCTTGGTATTCATAACATATAATCTGTTTCCATGCACAGTATTCACAGTTTGGCAGGCAGCTCCTTTCACAAACAAGACAGCTTGTGCACACAAGTTGAAACACCAATTGCATAGAAAGTTTAATTTTATGTAATGTACATTTTTATTTTTGTGTTTTACTTTTATGAAATATGAATAGTTGAGTGCAAACCAGGCACATAGGTGTTCTGCTTTTTATTGAGGGGTATGGTGAAAGACATAATACTGATAGTGATGTTGGCAGTGAGGTAGATAGTGATAGCAGTTAAGTATGGTGGTGGTAGAGGTGAAGCTGGCATTGCTGTGAAATCAAGAACCAGGCAATTTTTGTGTGTGCTTTGAGGTAGGATTTGTGGCCTTCTCACTAATAGCTACTAAACTTTGAGGATTTCAATAAAATTTGTACCCTCCAATTATCAAAAAAAAAAAAAATACCTTCAGGACTGTTCTGTGTTGATTGGCTGGATGTCTGAGCTGAAAGGAAATGGTAGAAATGGTTTTTGCATTGTTGTGAGATGTGGATGAAAAACTGCATGTTATCTTGTTTTCAGTCTCCTCATACCCCTGTAGATGGTCACACAATGGATCTTTGTCAGACCCCACTGAGCATTGTTACATCACTAGAAAAGAATGTCAGCTATTTCGCATTTTACAATTACTTCAAGAAAGTCTCAGATGACTGATTTCTTATTAGCTCTAAAAAAAAAAAAAAATTGGTCATGTGGGTCCAGTCTTGTAATTAATTAACTTTTATATTGAATATTAACTTCTCGTGGAACTTGATGTGTTGCATCTTGGCTTGGGTCCAACCATGGACTGGCATCATGGCTTGGGCCCAGCCTCTTGGTTTTTTTCCCAGAGTGACATTATGGCTTGCTTGTGGTTCCCCCCCTCCCTCTCCCCCTTTCCCCAAGAATGACATTGTAACTTGGGCCCCCAGAATGGGTTTCATGATGCTGCTGTACCCCAAGTCTTTTTCACCTCTGGTTCTGTCAGTTTAAGAACGGAGGAGAATTAACCTTCATGCCTCAGCAAATAATACTTAGCTGACCACAAAATTACATGATTATACAGTGGTCCCTTGTTTTTCGTAATTAATCAGTTCCTGGAAGTGTGACTATTATCGAATTTGACGATTTTCAAATCCATTTTCCCCATAAGAAATAATGTAAATCCAATTAATTGGTTCCAGACACCCAGAAGTATCAAAAAAAATTTTTTTTTTTACCTTAAAGATAGATTTATATGCATAAAAGAATGAACATTCAACATGACAGTTACCTTTATTGAAGGCTGTTGTTGATGAATGGAAGACAGGGAGGAGGTGAGAGGGAAGAGAGGTTATTGTTTGGAAGGGGAATCCCCCTCTATAAGGACTCTAGGTCACTTCAGGGGTCACTTCCCTAGCTTAAATATAGATTTACATGCAGAAAAGAATGCCAAATAAATGTAAAGCACTAATAAAATGTATAAATGAACATTTAATATCACACTTACCTTTTATTGAAGACTTTTGTTGGTGTATGGCAGAGGGAGGGGAGGCGAGTTTATTGTTTAAGAATATGACACTAATGTCAACTCTACGGCTTATTTATCTATCAAATATCAATAACATGACATAAAAACAATATTAATAATTTAAAAATGGAATAACTCAAAATGTAATAAATAGTCATTAATGTTGTGTCACAAGAGGTGTGTGTATGTTTGTGGTGATAAGGCCAACTTAGAGTATACCATCAATAATGGATGTGACGCAGCATGAGGCAGCGGTGGTTTTCTTGTAGTCCTATGTAACTCAACAACATGGGGAGGTTGGTGAAATCCACTGAAGAAGGCCCCTACCACCATCAAAGTCACTACACCACCTACCACGCATTCTACCCCGTTACCACTCAATCAACTGCTAGCACGTCTTACCACTATCAACTGCAAGCACCCTCTACCACCATCACTACCACCCTCTAGCACCTTCACTACCACCGTCTACCACTATCAACTGCTAGCACCGTCTACCACTATCAACTACTAGCACCCTCTACCACCATCACTACCACCCTCTACCACTATCACAACTGCTTGCACTCTACCACCACCACCTTCGTATTTTTCTACAAACTTTTTCTTAAATTATGTGTGTTTCTCACATTCTTTACCAAAGGGCTGCCACTAGAAGCTTTCTTAGGAGCCATGGTGACTTATTTAGCAGTTGCAAGCACTAAAACGAATGGAATATTATGAAATGTATAGTATGAACTCGTGGGATCATCCTCACTCACTGATAAACAATGGCACACTGGCTGGGAATGGAGTGTGAGGCAGCTCGGGGCTGTGTGTTCACGTCCCAGATGAACGACTATTTGCGAGCCAATGTTTTGACGAAAATAACATTACGATTTTCTAAAATAAATAACCAAAAGGCACAATACCGTGACTGGAACGATACACAAATAACCCGCACATAAGAGAGAAGCTTACGACGACGTTTCGGTCCGACTTGGACCATTGACAAAGTCACACTGATTTTCTAAAATTATGACTATCAAGTCTTACGATTATCGAGGGACCACTGTATTTTGTAAATAGAACAGCATTAAAATACAGTAGAACCTCGACTTACGAGTGTCCCAACATTCAAATTTTTCGAGATACGAGCCATCGTTCAGTCGATTTTTTGCTCTGAGTTGTGAGCGAGCTTCCCCTGCCTCCCCCTCAACCCACAACCCGCACACCTCGCTTGTTTATCTATGATTTCATGCTTTAATTCCATGGAAATCATCTTTTTTCTCTTCTCAGCACTGTCCTTTGCACTTACTTTCTTAGGACCCATGGTTAGAAAAAAGAAATTTGGCCAAATAACTGTAAAAATGCAAGCAGAGCACAACAAAAATGCTTCCACAGCGAGGTAAACAATGCACTGCGCCAACTAGTGGCAGCTTTCTGAAGTTCATCCATTTATTATTATTATTATTATTATTATTATTATTATTATTAATTTAGGGAACTGGAGCACAGATCCAATTCCCTAGATCAAGAGACCTTCACCAGCATCAAGGTTCCTTGATGTTGGTGAGGGGCTCTTGATCTAGGGAATTGTATTTGTGCTCCAGTTCCAAAAATTAATAATAATAAAGAGTGATCTTCAGTTTCCTAAATTAATAATAATAATTCTAGGTAGTAGGTTGTTAGACAACAGCCGCCCAGGGAGGTACTACCGTCCTTCCAAGTGAGTGTAAAACGAAAGCCTGTAATTGTTTTACATGATGGTAGGATTGCTGGTGTCCTTGTTTCTGTCTCTTAAACATACAAGATTTCAGGTACGTCTTGCTATTTCTACTTACACTTAGGTCACACTACACATACATGTACATGCATATATATGTATACATACACACCCCTCTGGGTTTTCTTCTATTTTCTTTCTAGTTCTTGTTTTTGTTTATTTCCTCTTATCTCCATGGGGATGTGGAACAGAATTCTTCCTCCGTAAGCCATGCATGTCTTAAGAGGCGACTAAAATGCCGGGAGCAAGGGGCTAGTAACCCCTTCTCCTGTATATATTATTAAATTTAAAAGGAGAAACTTTCGTTTTACCTTTAGGGCCACCCCTCCTCAGTGGGATACGGCTGGTACGTAGAAGAGAGGGAGACTACTTCCCAGTAAAAGTGTAATGTGTAATGTCACCATGGTTGGTTAATATATTTATAGATGGGGTTGTAAAAGAAGTACAGTGGACCCCCGCATACCGTCGCCATCACATAACGTACAATCCGCATACCGCTCGCTTTTATCGCAAAAATTTTGCCTCGCATACCGCTCAAAAACCCGCTCACCACTCTTCGTCCGAGATGCGTCCAATGTGTGCCCTTAGCCAGCCTCACATGTGCCGCCGGTGGCATTGTTTACCAGCCAGCCTCTGCGGTAACATCCAAGCATACAATCGGAACATTTCGTATTATTAGTGTTTTTGGTGATTTTATCTGCAAAATAAGTGACCATGGGCCCCAAGAAAGCTTCTAGTGCCAACCCTACAGCAATAAGGGTGAGAATTACTATAGAGATGAAGAAAAAGATCATTGATAAGTATGAAAGTGGAGTGCGTGTCTCCGAGCTGGCCAGGTTGTATAATAAACCCCAATCAACCATCGCTACTATTGGTGGTACAGCTGCTGCTGCTGCTGTACCACCATCAGCTGCTGCTGCTGCTGCTGCTGTAGTACCGTCTGCTGCTGCTTGAGCATCGTCTGCTGCTGCTGTAGCACTGTCAGCTGCTGCTGCTGTTGTACCACCGTCAGCTGCTGCTGCTGCTGTTGTACCACCGTCAGCTGCTGCTGCTGCTGTTGTAGTACCGTCTGCTGCTGCTGTAGTACCGTCTGCTGCTG